CCCAAAGTGTACCCCTACTTTTACTTGAGTCACCTGCCTGCCTTATTGCCAAAAGGAAGGTCTAGTTTTGCTCCTTCTCTAGTAGGAGCATGCATATATTGATAAAGAAAACTTCCTTGAACATGTTTGACAAATTCTTCACCATCCAAATCTTTAACACTATGGTAGCCCCAGTCAATGTTTGGAAAATTAAAATCCCCTGTTATTACAACATTGTTATGCTTACATATATCTGAGATCTCCCTACATATTTGTTTCTCAATTTCCCTCTTATTGTTGGGGGGGCCTGTAGAACAATCCCATCAAAGTGATCTTTCCCTTCTTATTTCTTATTTTTATTAATATTTTCACTGGATGACTTTTCAGGAATATCTTCTCTAGTTACAGCAGTAATGTATTTTTTAATCAAAAATGCACACCCCTCCACCTTTCTTGCATCGCATCCTTCCTATAGCATCTGAAACCTGGAACATTGGGCTGCCAGCCTTGTCTATCTCTCAGCCAAGTTTCTGTAATAGCTATGACGTCTCAATCCAATGTTCTTAAACATGCCCTGAGTTCATCAGCCTTAACTGTAAGACCCTTGCATTCAAATAAATGCAATTTAGTTCTTCAGAGTTGCTACATACTCTGGCTTTTAAACTCGAATTGACAAGTATTTTCTCACTTTGATTTTGGTTGTTAACAAGCAATACTGGCAGTCATTAAAATTTAGAATGTAATGTTTCTGTTGTTGGTAGTTGAGGTGTTTATTTTGGCAGCTGACTGACTGTATACTGTGGATATATCATTGAGCTACAAAGCTGGGATGGTTCCAGTCCCTGGTCTTTCTGAAGTAGTTGCTTTTAAACTGGGTCACTGAGCAGATGTGGAAAACTAACAGGATTACTGTAAAAAAGCAATGAAAGGGCTTTGGTGGCACACTGTATGAAAGGGACCAAAGGGGCAACTTTTTCACACGGAGGGTGGTGCATGTAATGAATGAGCTGCCAGAGGAAGTGGTGGAGGCTGGAACAATTACAATATTTAAAAGGCATCTGGATGGGTACGTGAATGAGAAAGGTTTAGAGGGATATGGGCCAAATGCTGGCATATGGGACTAGATTTATCTAGGATATCTGGTTGGCCTGGGTGAGTTGGACCGAAGGGTCTGTTTTTGTGCTGTATATCTGTATGAATCTATGATTGTATGGTAGTGTCCCTACCTCCAGACTAGGAGTCCCATCTTGTTCCAGAGGTGTGTAATAGCATCTCTGAACAGGCTGATTAGAAAATAGGGAAAAAAGGCTCAGATCTCCACTCCTTTCATTCTTAAGAAAAGTTAAAATGATTGTAGACAACAAGGTGCAGGGCTGGATGAACACAGCAGGCCAAGCAGCATCATAGGAGCAGAGAGGCTGACGTTTCGGGCCTAGACCCTTCATCAGAAAAGGGGGAGGGGAAGGGGGTTTTGAAATAAATAGGGAGAGAGTGGGAGGCGGATAGAAGAGGGATAGAGGAGAGGATAGGTGGAGAGGAAACAAACAGGTCGAAGAGGCGGGGATGGGGCCAGGAAAGGTGAGTGTAGGTAGGGAGTTAGGAAGGGGATAGGTCAGTCCAGGGAGGACGGACAGGTCAAGGGGGCGGGATGAGGTTGGTCGGTAGGAGATGGAGGTGCGGCTTGAGGTGGGAGGAGGGGATAGGTGGGAGGAAGAACAGGTTAGGGAGGCAGGGACGAGTTGGACTGGTTTTGGGATGCGGTGGGGGGAGGGGAGATTTTGAAACTTGTGAAATCCACATTGATACCATTGGGCTGCAGGGTTCCCAAGCGGAATATGAGTTGCTGTTCCTGCAACCTTCGGGTGGCATCGTTGTGGCACTGCAGGAGGCCCAGGATGGACATGTCGTCTGAGGAATGGGAGGGGGAGTTGAAATGGTTCGCGACCGGGAGGTGCAGTTGTTTGTTGCGAACCGAGCGTAAGTGTTCTGCAAAGCGGTCCCCGAGTCTCCGCTTGGTTTCCCCGATGTAGAGGAAGCCACACCGGGTACAGCGGATGCAGTATACCACATTGGCAGATGTGCAGGTGAACATCTGCTTGATGTGGAAAGTCTTCTTGGGGCCTGGGATGGGGGTGAGGGAGGAGGTATGGGGGCAGGTGTAGCACTTCCTGCGGTTGCAGGGAAAAGTGCCGGGTGTGGTGGAGCTGGAGGGGAGTGTGGAGCGGACGAGGGAGTCACGGAGAGAGTTGTCCCTCCGGAAAGCAGATAAAGGTGGGGAGGGAAAGATGTCTTTGGTGGTGGGGTCGGATTGCAGATGGCGGAAGTGTCGGAGGATGATGCGTTGGATCCGGAGGTTGGTGGGGTGGTACGTGAGGACGAGGGGGATTCTTTTTTGGTTTTTATTGCGTGGACGGGCCCTCAACCGTGTCTCCCACATCTCCCGCACCTCATCCCTCACACCCCGTCTCGGATTCTCCAGCATCTGCAGTTCCTACTATCTCTGATTAAAATGATTGTAATTGGACGATTTGTGATGTTTCATTACAGTCGAGATATGTTCCCTGTAATGCAAAGGGTAGGACAAACAAATTTAGTGTTTACTGAATGATAAAGGAGGTAAAAATTAACATTAAAAAGAAAGGGTATGCTAATGACAGAAAACAATTGAGAGTCAACAGGAAAACCAAAGGATTAGTGGATGCAGTGAAAAACAAATAACAAAAGCAAAGGAGAGTTATAAGAAAATGCCAGCAGCTAACATAAACTACTTTGGGATTTCCCTTTATTACACAAACAGTAAGTGAGCAGTTAAAGAAGTAGGGCCATTCAGAGGCCAGAAAGGGGTTTAAGATGGAGGTGGGGTCATGTCTGATGGGTTAAATACATACATGCCTCTTAAAAGAGGAGGTTGCTTTTCTTTATCTATCACTAGAAGGGTTCAAAATGAATATAGTAGTAGTCCTGGATAGATTGTTAGTACTTAAAGTTAGAAAGGCACTGGGACCAGATGAGATACATCCAAGAATTTTGAAGGAAGGAAGGAAGGGAGGGTAGAATTTACGAAAGCAGTGGGCATAATATTTGTCTTGTGTGCACTCCGGAGAGGTACCAGAAGAGTGCAGAATTGCCAACGTTACGGCCTCGTTCTAAAAAGGTTGTCAGGCTAATCCTGGCAATTACAGTTAGAACACAGAACAATATAGCACAGGAACAGGCCCTTTGGCCTATGATGTTGTACCGAACATGATGTTGTGTTTAACTAATCCCTTCTGCGTGCCCTTGGTCCACATGCCCTCATTCCTTGCATGTTCGTCTACCTAAAAGTCTCTTAAATGCCCTGATTGTATCTGCGTCCACCATCACCCCAGCAGCATCTTCCAGACTCCTCCAACTCTAGAAAATTGGCCCTCACATCTCCTTTGAACCCTCCCCCCTTAAATGTATGCCCCCTAGTTTTAGGCATTTCAACTCGGACTTGACGGTCAGAATCTTTTTCGCAATCTATGTATCTCATAATTTTATAGACTTCTATCAAGATGTACTTTCTTTGGACAACACAAAAGACAATATAAAAACAAATTCTAAAGGGGTGCAGCAGCAAAGGAATCTGGTTCTATGTGTCCAGATCATTGAAGGTGGCAGGCAGTGAGAGCCCAAAATAAAGAATTTTATTCTCGGCTTAAGTAAAAGCGGCAGAGTGTGCAAGAGTAAAGAAGTGATACTGGAAAAATGCTTGTTAGATCTCTGGAATGTTGTGTGCAGTTGTAGTTGCCCCATTATAGGAAAGATGCAAATGCATGGGAGAGAGTGCAGATTTGATTTACTAATGGTCCCAGGTATGAGAACTTCATCTATGAGGATAGATTTAAGTTAGGACTGTTTTCCCTGGAGTGAAGAAAACTGAGAGGAGATTTGATGGAGGTTTACAAAATCATGAATGGGATGGGCAGTTAAAGCTGTTTCTGCTTGTAAAAGAAACAAGAATGAGAGGGTATATGTTTAAAATGATCTGCAAACAAAGCAATTTGTAATGTGAAAAGAACTTTCTCAGACAGAGTTGTTAGATTATGAAACGCACTGCCTGGAAATATAGTGGAAGCAAGTTCAATTGAGGCATTCGAGAAGGCACTGGATTTTTTTTCGAAAAGTTAGTGGTGTGCAAGGACAGAGGAAAAAGGCTGGAGATCGGCACTAGATAGTAGAACCGGCAATGGCTGGTTGGGGCAATTGCCCCTTCTGCACCACTATATTTCTGTGAAATTATCAAAATCATTAAAAAAAAACACTGTCTGGAATCAGACTTTCCATATAATGTATGCCCCTGTTGCTGTTGCTGTTACTGTGGTAGTGGCAATTGGCATCTTATTCCCCATTCTCTATCTTGCTACCATCGTCGTATGTAGGATACCGTGCTGTTTACAGTCTGTTATGTTATGCTTCCTGCTTTTGAGCCGCTGAGCTCCTTCAACTGCTAGCTTATCCTGGACCAACTAATTCTCTGTTTGAAATTCATTCTTCACTCCTCCAATGCCATGTCCTAAATTTTATTCTTTTCCATCATTGGAAAGCAGCCTCCAGGCTGGTTTTCTGCTTAAACGTCTGTTTTGTTAGAATTTAGACCACTGTTGTATATTACATTTTTGAATATTATTTGTTTACAGTATTGAAAAATGTATGTTCTAATTTGTTTAATATTAGCTTGGTGTTGAATTTGATATGACTTTCATATCCTTGTGTGATAACTTGGTTGAGTGGTCCTCGTTAAAGTGAAGGTAAACTGCATTTGTGTTTAATTTGTTCTTGCCAGTTTGCAATTAACTAGTCAAGATCCAAAGTTTCACTCTTATTTTGCTGCAAGAGGGCAAGCAGGCCATACAGTTGTCAATCAGGATTTGTGTATTTAACCAGCGTAACAATCTATATTAAAATTAATTATTTTCATTTGAATACTTCAATATGCTTTGAATAAAAGGAATGCAGAATTTGCAAATGAAAAATGAAGTCACTTTTCTTCATTTCAGATTGTAAACAAGTGGTATGGAGAAGTTCTGCTTTTGCAGCCCTTCATAGAGGAAGGCCACCAGAAATGCCTGTAACCTATGGGAGTCCACCTAGTGTTGGTAAGTGAGAGATCAGAGCAGTGGTGCTGTAATAATGCTATATGTTTGTGACTGAATTATCTCAGAAAATTAAAACCTGTGGCAAAATTATTATTGCAGTCGAGATTGTCCGTGGCAGACAATTGACGGGAAGTGGACATTTTGGCTCAATTTTTCCAACCTGTACCTATCAGCACATAAAGATGCATCGCAGAATTCTTGGACATCTGTCGTCAGTTTATTGTGTTGCCTTTGATCGCACAGGGCACAGGATTTTTACTGTAAGTAATGATTTTCGGTGAGGATATGTATTTCCTTTTCTGCTAACCATTTTATTCTCTTCAAGATTGGAAATGGTTATTACATATAAAATAGTGTGGCCTGCAACAGTTCCAGAACTGGAAATGTTACAGTTGGTATAATCTTGTTAGCCTGGCACCTGCAAGAAAAATGCAGTGAATAAAGATGGTATCCATATCTTGCTTTCATCAATTTCACTGAACATTGGACCATGTAGGTGAAGAAATTTGGCTGCCTGCTGAAGTTCAATGTGATCTCCTCTTTCTATTGCAATATGATGGGCAAGATTAACAATGATGATTCAGCATTGGAACCCTTTGAGATTTGCAGTAAGATCAAACAAATTTGGCATGTTCTACTCCTTGCTGTCATGCCTTCGGTCATCAACAGAGGATATCTACTGACATACTATCTGTGAGGTCCTGAGATTGAAGACCAAGATGTGACAAGTTCTGTTTTGAGAGTTCACACTGATGATAGTATACAAATATATTATGGACCATTCAAAGATAAATGGATGTAGTTACAACCATAAACAGCTTGACCATCAGCAAAAGGACATATGTCATGGTCCAGGTTGTAATACCACCGTTCATCAGCATTGGCAACATGCTGCCGGTAGTCTGTTACTTGATGCTGAAATTGCCAAATGAATTGTAGAAGCTGTTCTATCCAAGCTGAATAAGAATGTAACCTGCCTGAGAATAGTAACTTGAGAGTTATGCAAGTATGTGATTTCAGTGCACGTCTTTGTAGTAGCTAGACCTAGGCAACATATAAAAGGAGGAGAAAAGGCTGAGTAGTTTTCCATCTTCTCTGTCTTGGATGTATCCTTGGCATCACTTTGCAGGACAAGGCCATTAATCCAGAGGCCCGGGGATTTGCTAACCATCAAAGTCAATCGAGCCAGCACAGATGTCATTATGTTTATTGTAGGGTGATGATTCTCCATCCAAAGATCTTCTGCATTGTCTACTGGTCTCTGGTGTGACATCCGACTACATCTCTCCACTACAGATACCTTCAATCAGTATATGAAGGTGATGGCACTGACAATTGGAAAACAGTTTCTGGTGGCCGTGACCTCTGGAAGCTGAGTGTTTGTAGGGGTATTGGAAGGGTTGACCAAAGGTCAGTGTTACTGGTACCAGCCAGTTGTCTTCTCACTTGCTTATGTACCTGACCTTTTGCAATCCTTAGATAATTACATGGTATTGGCCATCTGACATAGTAAGTCATGCCAGCTTAAACTCTGACTTCCTCCTTACTCAGCCAGTTTATAAACCCTGAGTATGTTGTACATAGGCATTTTCTGCTCTTACCCAACGTCTTGCAGAAGTATCATCTATGGTCCATACAATAGTCACCATTGTTACATTTTGTTATTCGTTGATCTTGTACAAAAGATAGTAATTGCTGATGTGATCTAAGAATTTCAGTCAATCGTTAATCACATGTACTTCGATAAGATTGCCACCCTGTTTGGGCAGAGAAGTCTCTGCAAACAAACTGTTTACAATTTTTGGAATTGCTCAGATTAATGTGTTGTCAAAGGCGAAGTATAGTTCTCACAAAAGTAAATCGACAAATTATTTGAGTAAAAGGTCTTCATAAATGAGTTCATGGTAGTCTTGTAGATGGTAAAAACATGTTGGGCAACCAATATAATGTCTTACAATACAGTGCAGGAACAGGCCCTTCGACCCACTGAACCTGTGCCAATTCCTAATCCTTATTTAGACCTGTTACTTATTGCTGGTGCCTGGTTTACATCCCTCTTTTCGACTTCTATTCACGTGTCTATCACAATATGCCTTAAATACTGCTAACGTGCCTGCTTCCACCACCTTCATTGACAGAGCATTCCAGGCACCCACCACTCTCCCCTAAACTTTCCCCCTCTCACCTTGAATCTGTGCCCCTTGCAGTTGACCGTTCCACCCTGGAAAAAGCCTCTGACTATCCACCCTATTTATGCCTCTCACAATTTTGTGGGCCTCTATCAGGTCATCTCTCGGCCTCCGTCTTTCCAGTGAAAGCCATCAGAGTTTATCCAATTTCTCCTTGTAACTGAAACCCTCCAGACCAGGCAACCTCCCTGTAAATCTTCTCTGCACCCTTTCCAAAGCATCCACATTCTTGTGGTAGTATGGTGACCAGAGCTGTGCACAATATTCCAAATATGGCTGAGCTAAAGTTTTGTACAGCTGTAGCATATCAAAATTAGAAGTTGGCAAGTTGTCCCAGCCGATGAAGGAAAGCATACTATATGCTTCTTGACCACCTTATCCGGCTGTGTTGCCACTTTCAAGGATCTGTGGACCTGTATGCCCAGATCCCTCCAAATGTCAGTGCTCCTAAGGGTTCTGCCATTTATTGTATAATTCACACTTGAATTTGGTCTTCCAAAATGCATCAGCTCGCATTTGTCTGGATTAAACTTCACCTTCCATTTCTGTGCCCAAATCTGCGATCCATCTGTATTCCACTGTATCCTTTTGACAATCCTCCTCCCTATCTGCAACTCTGCCAATTTTGGTATCATCTGCAAAATGAGTAATCAGATCACATCAATGATCTGGAGGAAAACAACAAAGGTATTAGTACTGATTCCTGCAGAACACCACTAGTTACTGATCTCCATTCCGAAAAGCACTCTTCCACTGCTTCTCTTTCTCTTTTATGACCAAGCCAGTTTTGTATCCATCTAGCCAACTTGCCCCAGATCCCATGAGACTTTACCTTCTGTACCAGCCTTAGTAAAATCCACGTAGACAACATCCACTGCCCTTGCCTCATCATTTATTCTTGTCACCTAAAAACTCAATCAAATTGGTGAGACGTGACCTTCCCTGCACAAACCCATGCAGTCTATAACTAACAAGTCCATTTGCTTCCAAATGTGAATAAATCCTGTCTCTCAGTACCTTCTCCAGCAGCTTACCCACCACTGATGTCAGGCTTACTGGCCTGTAATTACCTGGATTATCTCTGTTTCCCTTCTTCAACAAAGGAACAACATTGGCCATTCTCCAGTACTCTGGAACTTTGTCTGAGTCCAAAGAGGATGCAAAGATCTGTTAAGCCCCAGCTATTTCCTCCCTTGCCTCCCACAGTATCCTGGGATAGATCATACCTGGCCCTGGGGACTTGTATACCTGGCCCTGGGGACTTGTATA